CAGTCAGTAAGATCAAAGGAAATTTTTCATAAAATAGCGATAATGCAGCTTATCTGTAACAATTCCATATTCATGCCTTATATATCATGTAGTGTATTACGATGCTAGATTAAAACTGATGAGGAAAGGTAATACCCGGCCACCAAAAGCTTTATTTTTAAGCCTAGGTGGTCGTGTGGTCTAGTGCGTCGGATACAGTGTAGGCGATATGGTGTCACGATATCTCAGTAGCATGAGTTCGAATCCCAGCGAGGGAAGAACAAAAAAATTTGTTTTTACAGATCTAACATTGTTGGGCTGATGTTTAGACGAGTTGTATATATATATATGACAACAATCTTAAAGCACCTAGGACATATTAAAGACTTACTAATGCAACATTTTCATTACATAGCAGAAGAGTTCACTGGTATTCTTCCTCGTTCACTGCACCAATTAGTTGACAGTTAGTTGACCTATAAATAAATTTATTTTAAAAGATTTCACATTGAAGTATATTGCCTTGATTGCAAAAGTTAAAAATTTGAATACAAGTTACAATGTTAACAAGTCTGTTAATATCCTCCTAAAATACTTGTACCTTCCTATCTGCAAAACAATTGCTCTTATATGAAAATGTCTATGTGGGAAGGATTTTGATTAGTTTTAATTTTCCATAATTTTTTTATATATACTGTTATAGGTTTATATCTTTATAATGTTTGCATCTAACTCCTTCTCACCACCTTGAAGATGTTTCTATACCTCCTATACATAATCATGTGTCTCTTTTTGCCTGTTTGCACTGACTGTTGTAATAGAGCTGTTGATGTAAATTGTTCCAGTTAATCCTATAGTCAGCTGATTTAAAGTTAGGGTTTTTCAGGGAAAAAAACATTCTTTCACATTTTCCATAGGCTCAAATATAAAATAAGTCAATGGCGAGGAAAGAAAAAAAGTAACAACTCCATGTATGAATTTTATAATTAACTTATGTTTCTAATATGGTTAAAATGGGTTGAGTAATCATCATGAACATGATTTTTTCTGTATATTTTCAAACAAAATATGAAGCACTCAGGTCTTCTACTTTCTGAAATATACATTTGTACACAAATAGTTTACTCTGCTGTCAATGCCGACAGATAGCAATCCTTATATCTTGCATTCTGCAGCTTTCTCAGAAATTAATGGAACTTTAAACTATTTTGAGAGTAAAATGTAACTGTCTTGTTTGATAAAATAGAAGATTTAGATCACAATAGCTATAAATCTGATGTTTGGACCATGCGAAATCAATATGTTTACTCGATTTATCTCAGAACATAAATGAAACTCACCTAAATCAAATTGGTAAAAGAACTTCCCCACTTTAGTAATTTCTTGTATTGCCAATGGACATTGATAAACGTGTTTGTTAACTTCTTCAGAATGTCCCATATGTCTTGTCTTGTAGCACCTCCAAAGTGGCAAATACAGTTGACATGTAATGCCTCATCTGAGTAATCCTTTTTGATAATTCTGCCTTCTTTCAAATTTTGTTTACACTTTTCCAGCCGCATACATGAAAGTTTGAATCTTTAATATAAGGGAAATACATATAAATTAGTTTGTTTAACACCTGCTGCTTGTCTAATGTACTGATCTGTTAGCTTTGTCATGGCCTTCCATGTGTCTTCAGGGATGAGAATTGAGAGAAGTTGACTAACACATTTACCAGATTGATATGTCAATTTATATTTCTGAAAAAGTTCCCACTCCTCTGGGTTTTTTACCTTTTTCATTTGGTTTTCATCTACCCATGCATCCTCCTTTGCATCTATCCATTCCTTTAAAGTGAGTCTGCTTGGTTCCCCTCCTCTTATTGCATGGAATAATGTTAGTCTACTAACTATAAGATCTCTGAGAAAGGTATATATTCATTTGGTTCTAAAAACTTATAAGGGTCATCCAACTCTTTATTTGTGTTGAGATAAACTGTCTAAGCATATTAATGTCATCCTATACTGGTAACTGTTGAGGTCGTTTCAAGTTTTCTTGCCTATTTTTTTTTTGCAATTATATACTCAGCATCACTAAATATTTCTCCTTTATAATATTCTAATAATGTTTGAAATCATCAACTTTACTCATTTCATTTTTCTTGGTTTGTAAAATATATTGTCCCTTTAAGTGTGAAAGGACATTCTGTATAAGATGACCAACACCCTTTTTCAGTCCTGACTTCATCCCTCCATCATCTTTCGCTGCCATTGAATAAATTCCATCCATAAAAACAGAAAAGTTCTCCATTTTAAAAGATCTAATGCAGATATTACAGTAATACCCGATTTCTCAGCCTCTCCTTTTACATAGAAATATAAATTGGCGATTGTTCTCATCTGCTTCATAATGCTTTTCCTATTTTGCTGAGACTTGTCTTTTCTTGATACCATCTTCCTATATTAATGAAAAAGGAACTCAAAATATCTTCCTTATATTCTTCTGTGTGTTTGACATCTTTAACAGTTTCCTTGTGTATAGCAACAGGTACCCTAGTGTATCCTTCTGCTGCAAAACATTTTACTTTGAAATTCTTCATATGTTCTTTTACAAAAAAACCGTTGCAAGAAGAGCACATTACTCTTTTCTCTATCTCACCATCTCTGTCTTTTCTTGGTTTTCGTTCTTTAATAGATTTTTTTCGATAAAATTATCCTCTTTCATTTTCAATAAGTTATAATTAAGGTAGCCTTTTCTCTTTAACATAACAAATGCCTGGTTTCTATCCCTTGGTGGGAGTTGCATTGCAACTATTACATCCTCTTCTCCTTTATATATTGTTTTTAGATGTCTGGTCAGATGAGTTTGAAATTTTCAACAAAACACACAAGGTCTTTTTGGTTTGCCAATCGCTGCAAGAATTGAATTATTATTATATTATATTTTATATACATATATGATACTTGCTAACTGGCAACTTTGAAGACTTCCTTTGACAAATTGTAGCTATATGCAGCTAATATTTTTTTTTATTATGTACCTGACATTTGACTTAAAACATACATTTCTTAAATTCTAATATTATTTAAGTTCTTACACATCCTTGGCTCTCACATTTTTTGGTTTGAGAAATCCTGAAAAAGCTAGGCAAATCCAGAAACTTGCTTCAGAAGCACCAAAGGAGTATGTTTCATAAGGGTTATATTTGGCTCCAAATGATGTCCATTGTTTCAAGATAATAAATATTTCAAGCTGATGAGACACATAAGAAGGTGATTTTTTTTCTTATAAAGCGATAAAATTTACAACCAAAACAGGCCATGCAAAAGTAGAGATTTTGGTGTAATTTGATAAAATCCTCTGGAATTCAAAACATATTAGGTCCATAAAACATTAGAGTGCAGGCATTGACAAACTAAATATTGTCAAAAGTTTGTAATTCAAATATGGAAAGTGTTATCACAAACAGTATGTGAAAAGATAATTTCTGTTAACAAATGTACATGCATGTTTCCAGCCCGAAAAATCAATGGAAATTTTGACCTTTTTTTTTTTAAACTGATATGGAAAAATAAATTATGTGACATTATGAAAATAATGCTTATATGTAAATTTTCAACAAAAAGATGCATCTTCCATATATAATTATCATTTTAGTACTGATTCATTATGATAATTAGTCAACAAATCCTTATTTGAAATTTAAGCTGGAAATAGGGGCCATATGAGGACCTTATTGAGCCATTTTCATTAATGTAAAAAACATATAAGTATGCAGCAAATATGATGAAGAGGAGTGTACAAAGCTGAAAATGTTGCACAGAGTAAAATCTAATATAATATGAAGTTTGGTATCAAATATGAAGAAACCGTGGTTTGTAGTTGTTGAGGAAAATGCTTCTAACATTTCTTATACTTGCATCAATCAGAGGAACATATATTAATATGCATGAGGCAAACAGGAAGTAGGTTACAGATCTCAAAATCTGTCTCACAGTATAAATAACTAATTTGAAGTTTGGTACCAAACATTTAACAGACATTAACATTCTATAGAAATTATTTACATAAATGGAACAAAGGACAGTTTAAAACAGGCATTTAGTCTTAGATGCATGATTTTTTTTAATGAAGGGGTCAAATGACAATTTTGGTCATGTTGACTTATTTGTAGATCATACTTTGCTGAACAATTTTACTAAAAATATATAATTTGATACAGTAAGAATCAATGAACGGAACTAAGGACTGACACATAAAACAGAAAACATAATACTCTGAACTATCATATGCAGATTTTCAAAAATAATTGAAGTCAAAGTTGTCGGTTGTTTTATCAGTGGAGTGCTAATCAAGTTTTATATAAAAATGAACTTTAATTTTATGTACCTCATCTGGCAAAAAGCCCTGTAAAAAAAAAAACAACTTTCTAACGTTATGCTGATGTTACCAATGGTGCCTAATGTGTCATTTGTACCAACTCGTGTCCATTGCCACACTTCTGATATACCTAAAAGTAATAAAATAAATGTTAACTAGAGATAATATGTGCAGCTGATCCTGATGACAATAGATTCACTCTATGGAGGACATATAGTTTGAAAGCAAACATGCACTTTTTCAATTTTATGTTCTCAAAATCATGTTTTCTTGAGCAGCAGTATCATACCAACAACATATCTTAATCCTACCTGCCAAATTATATGTAAATCGTTTCTAGTTAGTGGTCATCCTGTTGGTAGTTTCTGCTCTAATAAGGAATTCATTTGTGCATTTCAGTGAAATGAAATATCGTCTAGATAGACAAAAACCAAATAAAACTGTTTTATCCCCACCACATTTTGTGCCATCCCTATATTAAGTCAGGCTATCTGGATCATGGGCTATTAGTTGTTTTTAGAAATTTTTCTTAAGATTTAGTTGGTGGTGGATGTGGTCTGTTGTAATACAGGTATCAAATATTATAGGTGATTCTCTTTTATTATCTTTATGTATCGTTATATTCACAAATTTGCTGTATAAATAGTAACTTACAAGTGCTCTAAAATATCAAAAATAGGTGTTGCAGTATATAGAGGTGCAATTAATTTCTCTGAACCTGCAGCTGGTGACAAGTGGGCATTTTTAGATTTTAAGGTTATAGTTTCACTTGCTGGTACACCGTCTCTACTCCTCTCAGTGTTTTTGGATTCTTTTCTTGAAATAGCTGCATCCTACAATTACAAAAATCCAAATTCTCAGAATAATGCAATATTTGATTGGTTGATAAATTGATTGTTGGTGTTTAACACCACTTACAGCACTATGACTATATTGGCAATCCTAGTCGATTAGGATTAGAGTCAAACACACCTGCTATGTGTGAGGTTTGGACTCACAACCTCAGTGTTAACAGACTAGTAGCAATATTTTAATATAAACAATCATTAACATTTTTCATAAAGTTCTTTTATAAAGTTCAAGTGTCAAAATTTTAATTTTCGCTCATTGGTATCAATTTTCTGAGATAAAGAACAAATCATATTGTTTTGGATACCTGATTCTGCATTCAAACGGAGGGAACTTCGTTGTTTGTGTAACCTTTATATTTGTGGTTTACCTGTACCTATAAAATCCTTAAAAAATTGGTACATCACAAATGATATTGAATTGACAGCATAAATTATATAAATCTTTGCAGTGTTAACCTACTTTCGAGAAATAGTAATTTTTCAATTTAGCATGTCTACTTCTGTAAACAAAATAAATCAACTACAACAAACTTAATCTGTTGCTTCTGTATATGATCACAATATAACAAAAATCCATATCAGTTTAAATCAGATTGTTTTCACTATCGTCTCACACAGTATTGTGGTTTTCTAACTATCGTTTTACTCATTTACTTGAGTCCATGGTTTTCAATGTCCTTTATTTAACTTTCATATTCAATTGACAACTTGGTCTCACATTATCATCTTTATTTTCTAAAGAATGAAAAATGTTCAACTTTTGGTTTAAAATTATTCCTGTGTAAATGTGTAGGACTCGGAGGTGAGATGGGGATGCTGATGTGCGATGGTCAAGTTGATGTGCGATGGTCACGCTGAGGTGAGAATGACCATTTGCTTAAGTGCAATGGTCTATATAATGTGTGATGGTTGTTTAAAATCAACAGACGTTCAATTGTTATGAGAGGAAGCTTTTTTAAGTGGTTAGTATATAAATTGAATTTGTTATTTTCTATGTATGTCCTTAGTTTTGGTTGCATATTAAATGAGTGATTTTCTGCATGTGAACATAATTCTGGGTTAACATTTCATATTTACGTCGTTCTTCTAATGAGTTTCTTTTTGCGCTGTCTACGATCCTGTGTGTAATCAAAGAATGCCACGCTCCATCATACGTAAAAAAGAACTTGTAGATTTTCAGAAAAAAAATCTGCTACAGAAGGTTGACTCTCCCTTTTACGCCAATCACTCCTCGTTTCCTTTAATATATGGGTTTTATAATCCCCTTCTTAACCGAAAAAAGTCCAAAAAATGCTTCTTACAAACAAATTGTCTTCTATATTGAAAATATACTTTATGTGATCCATCGAACTTCCGCGTTACCACAATTGCACTTCAGCTATCAACAAGACAACTCACAATGCTACAATTGCACTTCAGCGTAATCAAAATCGCACTTCACCTTCAAACCTTTGCACAGCAGTAAGACCATCGGGATTCGGAGATCTTTAAATGTTTGAAATAAGGAGTATACTTACATTGCTAGAATTATAAGGAATATCCATATATGTGTTAACCTGTCTAGAGAACTGATCATCAACTTTTGGAGGAGTCCACAGTGTTTCCTAAAGCACAAATTATATGTGAATTTATTTGTGACTGTGATGCATGTCATATGTGTTTTTAAGATTAGATTTGCCATAGAAATGAATAAATAAAAGACATATTGGGTATTGATTAAAGGTTAAACACACAGTACAAAAAGAGGATAAAATTTATCACCATTTGTTAAGCGTAAGTAGTTTACTAAAAGTAGTTCTGTGAACTGTTCACATCTTAATAAACTTACGTAAATATCAGTTTTCCTCTTATCTGTTTAATTGTTTTAATGAAAATTGAGAAAACTGTTGAAAAGACAAATTTAACATGAGTAACTAGAGGCTCCAAGGAGCCTGTGTCGCTCACCTGATATTTTTGTTTACAATTGATGCATGAAATAATGAAACCATTATACTTTTGCTTTAGTTTCAGAGATATAAGCCAAAAACTGCATTTTCCACTATGTCCTATTTTAAGCCATGTCAGCCATGTTGGTTGGCAGGCTGGGTCATCAGACACATTTTTTAAAATAGATACCCTAATGATGATTGTGGCCAAGTTTAGTTAAATTTGTCTCAGTAGTTTCAGAGGAGAACATTTTTGCAAAAGATTACAAAAATTCACGAAAAATTGTTAAAAATTTACTTTAAGGGGCAATAACTCCTTCAGGGGTCAATTGACCATTTTGGTCATGTTGACTTATTAGTAGATCTTACTTTGCTGAACATTATTACTGTTTACAGTTTATCTCTATCTATAATAATATTCAAGATAATAACCAAAAATTTGTAAGGGTTCCGTGGAACACAGTGTCTCGCCTACTTTTGCTGTTAGTCGCAGGCTCAACAAAAATGGGGAAAAAATTATTAAAAATTTTTCCTCTAGATACTATCTTTTGATTGTAAGAAGTTCTGTTCAAGTTTGGTAAAAATCCAAGAAGGTTTATGAATCTAATAAATGTTTTAAAAACTTTAACTGCAGACTGTACGTAATGATAACTGGAATAAAACTAAGTCCATCTATAAGTAATATACAGAAAAACAGGAAATAAATTTTCACAAAATTTCCTTCTAGATACTAGCTTTTGATCATAAAGAAGCTTCTGTACAAGTGTGATACAAATCCAGGATAGTTTAAGAAAGTTATTAAAAATTTGAAAGCTTCAACCACAGAGTGAATGTAATGTTAACTGGCAGAAAAACTAAGTCCATCTATAAGTGAAATACGGATAAACAGGATTTTTTTTTTAACAAAATTTACTTTTGAATAATATTTTATGATTACAAACAAGCTTCTGTCAAAGTGTGGTACAAATCCAGGATAGTTTAAGAAAGTAATTAAAATTTGAAAAACTTTAACCACAGAGTGAATGTTATGTTAACTGACAGAAAAACTAAGTCCATATATGAGTAAAATACGGATAAACAGGATTTTTTTTTTTTACAAAATTTTCTTCTGGATACTATCTTATGATTATAACCAATCTTCTGTCCAAGTTTGGTACAAATCTAGGATAGTTTAAGAAAGTTATTAAAATTTCACAAACTTTAACCACAGAGTGAATGTAATGTTAACTGGCAGAAAAACTAAGTCCATTTATGAGTAAAATACGGAAAAAAAAGGATTTTTTATTTACAAAATTTTCTTCTGGATACTATCTTATGATCATAAACAAGCTTCTGTCCAAGTTTGGTTGAAATGCAGAATAGTTTAAGAAAGTTATTAAAATTTCAAAAACTTTAACCACAGGGTGAATATTTGTGGACGCCGCCAACGACGAAAAAGTCACAGACTCGACAAAAACTGCAAAATTTCCTTAAAATTACCAATTCAGGGGCAGCAACCCAACAACAAGGTTGTCTGATTTGTCTGAAAATTTCAGGGCAGATAGATCTTGACCTGATGAACAATTTTACCCATGTCAGATTTGCTCTAAATGCTTTGGTTTCAGAGATATAAGCCAAAATCTACATTTTACCCCTATGTTCTATTTTTAGCCATGGTGGCCATTTTGGTTGGCGGGCCAGGTCATCGGACACATTTTTAAACTGGATACCCCAATGATGATTGTGGCCAAGTTTGGTTAAATTTGGCCCAGTAGTTTCAGAGAAGATTTTTGTAAAAGTTAACGACGGACGACAACGAAGGACAACGGACGACGAACGTCAAGTGATGAGAAAAGCTCACTTGGCCCTTTGGCCCAGGTGAGCTAAAAATTTCACATTTCATTCATTTATACTAGCATTTACAGTAATTGCACATTATATGTAACAACTTAAAGTCTCTTTCCTAACAAATAAATAAAAAAGATCATGTGCAAAACTTCAACATATGTGAAATCTTTCTGTGAAGTTTCAGGAATCTGGATTGAAAACTGTAGGAGGAGTTAATTACACAAGTTGATTACACAAATTAGGTATCCAGATGTCCCTGCCCAACCGCCAATCTGCCAAACATTACCATACATTTTAGCCATTTTTTTTAAATTGTATCAAACCTGGCCAAAAAGCTGTCTACTTCTTGAAAACTCAATTTTCAAAACTGATAAATTTTACTGAATATAAAGCCTATATTACATCATTACCTAGTTAAGACATTGAAATTATAGGTTTTGCCCGTTGAGTCCTTGGCATCTTTCCAGTTTGGTGGTAGAACAGGTGCTATGAACTGAGAGGGTAATGGTGGTGGAGGAATATCTTCTTCATCGGAAAAATCCAATTTTGAAAAATCATATGAAATCTGAAATAAGAATAGAAAGAAGTTATTTTGTGGATACCAATTTTTGTGGATTAAGGAAAGTTTATGGTTTTGTGGATATTTGATTTTGTTCTTTTTCCAAAGTCTGTATACAAGACAAAAGAAAATTTACACTTTATTCAACATTTATATCCACAAAATACACAAAGATTGGAATTTCATGAATAACAAGAAATGATTGTAACAGGATGCTGTTACGAAGTCTCCCAAACGAAGCTCCCATAATTCTTATTCCAAGGGTCGCCTGACATTGGGCAAAGTCCAGTGAAAATTGGTTTGGTCCAATAAAGTTATATGCATTAGTGATGCCTGGGGACTAACCCTGTATATCATTCAAATCATCTTGGCATGACAAACCTGAATATATATGGTTTAGGGGTGGGGATCTCGACCATTAACAAGATACTAGAACATTGGGGGTGGTGGGAACCCCTGGGGACTGACCCTATACGTCATTCAAATGTTCTAGACAT